AGCTGCCAAGGTTCAGTGAGCCTGATTTAAGGCTTGCGTATCGACACTAGTCGGCCACTGTCATACAGCTTTGTGTAGACACACACGCGCAGGCCTGAATTTGCTGAAAGCCCAGGGCACAGCCAACCTTTTCCTTCATAATGGCACATAACTAGAACTCCACCTCTACTGGCAACAGCAAGGGCACCTGCCTTGCAGGCAATACATACAACTGAATGAAGTTGTGGTCTCTAGTGAGTTGACATTTTTCATATAAAACACAGTGTAAAGTGAAATTTCAAACCAATTTAAAAATAGTCTTAAAAGTTTTAAATGTGAAACAAATAGCTGTTGGAACCCCTGAAGATTATGCTAGGGTTCCTTGGGACACTGTTTGAAAATCACTGATCTGGTGACTTCTTCCAGGCCTGAGAGTTTCTGTTTTAGGGTGAGGGAATAACTAAAAGTCTCAAGGCCTCGCTTTCTCATGCAGCAATTCACATTCTCCATTCAGCGTTCACAAAACCAGATTTTTATATTCAAGGAAAGTGCCTTTTCCTTCACCACAACTAGAACAGAAGCAGTTTTGTTACAGCCTTGCCTTCTACCCTCTCAGTCAAATCTTCACCAAGCTCTTCCCTATGAGAAAACATCCCAGACCTTTGGGTTCTACCCATCCCTCTCTTCCTCACTAATATGCCTCGTTCACACCGTATCACGTGTCTTCCAAAGCTAAAGTTAGTCCCTGAAGACACTTGCGGAGAAAGGAAAGAGCAGGTTTTCAGCCAGAAACCCTGAAGTGTAGGGTTTCTGTGATGGGGGAAGGGGATCAGTCTGTTAACTTCTTGGGACCTTCATTTCTTCACCTATAAAAGTGAAAATAGTAATAATACCAATCTTCTATGGCTGACGGGAGGACTGATTCAAAATGCTGGTTGTACGCATTATTGAAAACAAAAAACAATTTGTTCAATTTAAGGAAATTGCATAGAATTTTCCTCAAGGCGAGGCAGGGCGCTAAGAAGGAGTGTCTGGGTACTAACGACTCCTTGCTGTGAAGAAGGGTTCCTCTCACATCTCAGGAATTCTGCCTATTCCAGTCATGTGTTGCTGAACAACATTTTGGTCAGTGACGGATGGCCATCCCATGAGCTGCACCACCCAGCTGAGGTGGGCGGCGGACCAGGCTGTCCAAGTGAGCACCCACACCGACGTCCCCACCGCAAAATCTCTGTGACATGTTACCTAAGTGGTGCCTGAATGTAGAACTGGAACCGTGGAATTACTTTATCCCAGTACTTTCCCATTCCTTCTCCACATTAACCTTTGTCTCAAATCCTTTATAAGTCTTCAAAAAGCCAGTTTGCTCCCTGAAATGGCAGCCCGACTCCATCGAGGGCGTGTGCTTACAGATAGACTCATCTATAACTCAGAGCGGCCCAGCTGAAGTGTCCGCAGCCAACAGTGAGGAAAGGGTCCTCTTGGGTTTCCTCAGTGCATCAAAAGCGAAGTACCTGGAAACCTGAAGGTACAGAAGCAGAAGTCCAGGCAGGTGCCCCGGAACAGCGGGACACAAGTCTTGGGGAGTAGGAAGAATGAAGTCAAGACTGCAGTGAGGCATAAGTGATTGCTTTTCTCATAACAAATTCCCTAAAGAAAAAAAAAGAAGCATCTTTCATTCCATTCTCTTTTTCCTGTAGAAAGAGAGAATGGAGGTTTTGTTGTTGTTGTTGTTGTTGATGTTTTAGTAAGATAATAAAAAAAGGCAATTAGTAAGTCATATTAATTTTAAAATACAGGCTTTAGGAGCTCATCTAAGTGTAAATATTTCTGGTCATTGAAAGAAAGTAGGGTATCCTGCATCTTTCTATTTTCACCTCTTCTATGTACATCCAAATGCTGGGAAGTTAAAACATGGGCAAGCAGGTACTTCAACATGTTTTTTAATATGCCATTAGGTTTATATCCATTTTCCCAGTGCATTGCTAGTTTGATGCCATTCTTGACATCACCCAAGTGAGCCCCAGGTATGCACACTTATAATCCAGCAATGTCTAGCTCACCGTTGCTCCTTAAAATGTCTTATTGAAGTCCTGTTAAATCTGGTTGTACAAATAATACTAGATATCTTTCCCCGCATAGGTCTCCTGCAGCATGTATTCTGATTAATGCTTCTACAAGCCACTTACATCTGCAGAGAGCATCTGTGTAATGGTAGGGCTCTCCAGAAGCCTTTCGGGCCTCCACCGTTTATCTCTTTCCCAACCTCACCTTAGATTTTTTTTAAAAATCTTAAAAATAAAAGATAGAGCACTGAGGCATTTTTAAAACTACATAACCATTACTTTATATTACTCCTTACGAAAGAATCCAAGTTACAGGCTTCATAGATACCACGTTGTGGAATTACTGCGCTGTGACTAATAAGGATGTTCTGGGAAGAGGATTTTAAGAAACATTCCGGGCGAAAGGCTTAAGGCAAGAGCGAGTTTCAAAGGAGGTAGTCCCCCACCCCAAGCTGATAGGTGGTTGAAAGGGGAGAAGCCACCCAGAAAAGTCCTGGTAGGAGTTCCTTCCTGGCAGGGTTGGTAGCATCACTTGAGGGCTGCTCTCGAGACTTGTTCCCTTGGGACCAGAGACCTGTTGAAGTCTTCAGAGGGCTAGATTTAAGCACTTTCCTGAAGATTTCCTGGACTGCTTAGTTAAACCAATGTCCACGTAGTTCTTCAGACACCCCCGTAAATGCCAAGTCTCAAGAGAAAAGCTTTTAGCTTTGTCTCTAAGGACTTATCTCCAGGTGAGTGATCAAGTCCATGGAAGGTTCTTCCAGTTACTTTTGATGGCATATTTAGGGGGTTCTTGGCTTTTTTTTTTTTAATTAACCACAAGCAGCAATGCGGAACACTATCGGAGGTCAGTGTTTTTGATTCATTTGTAACTTGTAGTCAGTGTATTTGGTTCAGTTAACAATACTGATCACTTACTGTGTGCCAGGCACACAGTTCTGGGTACTGAGATGCATCAGTGGTAAAGATCATTGCTTTCAGAAGTCTGCCTTTAAGCTGGAGGAACAGCCCATGTGTTAACTTAACAAGTAAGCATTACACAGTAACTGATTTGTGTGTTCGGGCTGATCCAACAAAATAGCACAGACTTGGTGAATTAGACAACAGAAATTTATTTCTCACACTTTGGGAGGCTGGAAGTTCAAGACCAAGCAGTTGGCAGGTGGGTTTCTCATGAGACCTTGTCACTGTGTCTGCACATCTCTGGGTTCACACATCCTGGTGCCCCTCTCCTGAGGACACCAGTCATGTTCCATTAGGAGCCGACCCAGTGACCTCATTTACCTCCAGGTGCAGTCATTATGGGGGTTTGGGCTTCGACATATACATTTGGGGGAGTGTGCAGAATTCAGTCCATAGCAGTATGGTATTAGGTGATAAGTATCTGGGAAAACAAGGAAGATCAGAGTCCAGGGAGAGATTGCGTGAACTGTGTGTGTTGCGGGGTGGGGGGTGTCACATTTTGAACTGGATGGTCAGCATAGACTTCATTGAAAGGGTGGCATCTTAGGAAGACTTGAAGATCAGGTTACATCCCAGTGTTGCTATAACTCAGGCACCCACGGTGGAGGGGCGGTGAGGCGGATGGACAGCAGGGACAGACACAGCTGGCCGCTTGTGGGCTGGGTTCTACCCTGGGCTTTCCCCACTGCGGTCACACCTCCAAATGTCACGTTAGCCCTCTGAGGTCCAACTTACAAACACGCTGGCCTGTGTGAACTTGTGATTCCTAAGTACGCATTCTTAGAGGGACACGTGTTGGAAAGACAGGACTGGGTGCTGTGGATTGGATGGAAGTTGGGGGGTGGGGGGGAAGGGTGATGGGGGTTTGCTTTGGGGATTTATTTTCATCATCTATTTGTTAAGCAAGAGAGGGATTAAGACTCATCTTAAAGATCGTTACTAGGAAGTCAGTATTAGTATGGCATCTTTCTCCACAGACACCCAGTGCACCAGCCCCAGATTCCTGCCGCCTGGCCCACTAAAGGCCCGTGAGAAAGACCGTGGTGGAGGGGGATGCTTGCCTTCCCTCCTGGTCTTTCAGGGGCAGCAGCTTGTGGGTGAAGAAGGTCTGGAGTGGGGCGGCCACATCACAGCGTCCCTCCCATAATAGACCACCCGTTCTGCCCTGACCACACACATGCTAAAAATGGAAAAAGGACAGTCGTGGAAAAACTGGTGAAATCTGAATAAAATCTGGAGCGTGGCTCATGTGAATGTGCATGTCTGAGTTCTTGACCAACATGGTCACGTAAAGGCAGACATCGGGGTGCTGGGTGATGCACAGACGAAACACTCAGCCATCTTTGCAACTATTCTAGGAATCCAGAATTAGGCCATTTTAAAAGAAAACGGTGCCCACGTGGGTCTGGTGAGTTGGGCCGCAGCCATGATAAAGCCGGCAGAGGTAGGCCCGGCTCTCCGAGAGTCGTGGCTGGCAAAGGCAGGAACCTCCAGTCGGTGGGAGGCTCTCCCTCTGGCCTGCTCTTGGCAACCTTCCACCCCCACCCCCACCCCCGCACCCACCCTGGGTATTTGTCTTGGTATCGCCTACTTTGGGTGACTCATGTTTTTCACCCATGGTGTAGGAAATTGCCCGCAGGCATTATTTGATAATAGGCCCAGGCAGAGAGGGTGCTGATAGTCAGGGGGACCACAGCTGATACAGAAAAGACATTCAGGGATCCAAAACGAACATGGCAAACACAGGACAGGCAGCCTTCCTAAAAGGGAGGGGTCGGGAGCCCACACCTTCAGAGCCCCGCACTCTGTGGGGAGCAGACCGGCCTTCCCGGGCGGGGCCGATGGGCCTGGCCGATGGGCCTGGCTGGCCCTTGCCCTCTTCGCACATGGTGATGGTGCCTCCGTGCCTCAGCAAGTGTGAGGCAGCCCAGAGGGGTGTTGCCTGTGTGTGCGTGTCTGTGTGTGTGTATAATCCTTTTCTTCTTTTGACAGCTGCGAATCAGAAGGAGCCCATGACTCTTAATTTTAAAGTGAAAGAGGAGCCCAAGGACGAGGAGGCGCTCGGTGCCCCGTTGCCTCGGCCCAGCTACGTGTTCAGCCCCGAAGCTGAGGTACCAGCCCCGAGCCTCTCGGACGACACGCTCAAGTCCCCGGAAGGAAAGGGGGACGCGCTCAGGAGGGACATGTCCGTCAAAGCCGCGTCGGAACTGCTCATAAAACTATCAGGTATTTGATTCATTCTAAAACACTAACACGGACCAGTGAAGCCTGCCGCCCTCTGGTGAGCCCGCCGGGTGCTTCCCGCCCGGGCCTGCACCTCTGGCGGCCACACCTTCAGTCACTGTCACCGTGGGTTCGGAGTGACTCCGCCGAACCTTGGTTGGTTTGCAGCCGTCAGTGACCCTCGTGTCCAGCCCAATTTTCCCAACTCTCTGCAAGTGGTCAGGGACATTGCTGCTTTCGCAGACCAAGTCGGTCGTAATTTAAAATGGGTTCTGATGACATTCAAAGCACTTCTGCTAATTGATCAAAATATCTATTCCTTCCTCCTAGAGGCCCTTGCCTTTTTTGTGCGTATTTATACTATCTGCCTTAAGAACCATTAAAAATATTTTTCTTAACTTAAGAAGCAGTGGAGATGACACTTGAAGTAATTACTAATAGAGAAGCACTGAGGTCTTAGGAATAGAAAATTTCATAATGAAATGTTACAATAATTAATCTAAGTTCTTAAGATGAATGAATAATTTTATTAGTATGTTAATGTAGTCCCAGCCCATCAAGTGTGGGAAAAGTGTGTGATTATTTGGAATCTGCATGTGTTGCTTTCTTGGCCACTGCCTCTATCTGCCAGGGGTTGGTGAGGGTGGGGTTGGTGAGGGTGGGGGAGGAGTGTCTTTTAAATTCAGAGTGTGACTTTCATAATAGGGTAAGAAAATCAGATCAAGAATAATACTAAGTTTGCCATTGCCTAGAAGTAATGTTTAGAAATTGCATTCAAAATGCTAATGTGAATCAAAAGTGTGTCAGTCACTTGCTGTGCTTTTGCAGGGTGCAAGGTAGAAATGCACTGGGGAGAGTCTTCCCTGTAATTTCATTAGTGATTCTGTGTTTCTGGTTGACCAGTAGCTTGGAAAGTAAGAAATTAATAATGACTTACTTAGAATCATTTATAGCAGAACGGTTGAAATTCCTGTATGTGCCAGTTGGTGGGGTTGAGAATTGTCTTTTACTACTAATGCAAAACACACCAGAACTTCGGGGAACGTTGATTTGTTGCAGATAAAGCTAATAGCGTTATTAGGTCACTGTTGTCATCTAGTTTTTCGAAACTTTGCAGTACATACGCAGCTTCGTTTATGCAGATGAGGGGCTAACCAGGCTGTGCCGAAAGCTCAAAGTTTGACAATACAGTGCTCCAACCAACATACTTTTGTGTACGTGAGTCTTCCCTCCCGTGTCAAAGGTCTCACTGACGTAATCCGTCTGCTGTTTCCCCCGTCAGTTCCTAGAGGTCACAGCTCTCTGCTCTGTCCCCCATGCGTGGCCTTCCACATGACAGTGACTAAATCTTCCATGGTGACTCCTGTCCCCTCCTGCGGGTTAGATCCCAGTGGATAAAATTCCTATCAGAGTTTGCTGTGCTGCCAGAATTATGAGCAGAGAGAGCTGGGGCGACACAAAAGATGCTGTGCAAAAAGAGATTTCAGGAAAGACATTCTTTAAGGAAGGTTTGATCTTAATCCTTGTGGCTGAGGTGACTTGAGACACTGCAGCATAAAGTCATTCCCTAGATAGTAATGAGAACCTGCACATGTAGGGCTGTTGGAGAAGTCATGACGCATGTTTGCTTGAGAAAAAAACAAAAAAATACGTCATGGCTTTTCCAACAACCCAGTAGAATTAGGCTGTGAGGCAGCCGGCACGGGGGATGGAACTGTGGACCACAGGGGCCTCTGTACACTTACAGAGTCACACCAAGCCAGCAGTCCCCAGTGGACAGCTGGGTGATTTTTCCAGAAGTGCCCTGCTTCACAGGACGGAAATGAAAACCTGTTTAAAGACTAAGATATCTTTTGTTGGTTGATTTTTGTTTGTTTTCCCTCAGAGAGTTAAGCATCTATCTACCTGCAAGATGCTGTGGTCTATTCAGACGCAACCCAGGGCAGTGGAACCCATTCAGTAAGAGATTTGCACTTGGTACTTGGTCATTCAGACTATAGTCAGGTAAACTTTGAACAAGTTTGTAACTAAGTGCTAAAAATAGGCATGTGACTTAAAAACATGTCTTGGCATTCCTAAGCCACAAGACTAAGAAGACTCACCCTTTCTAAATCTTAAAACGGGTGTGCTCTTCACTCTAATCATGGGTCTGTGCTCTTGGAAGAAGACAGCTTCCTCAGTTCTCTCCCAAGTTGGCATTTGAGCCATTTCCATGTTCTCAACCCGGAGGACACTGTCAAGGCCTCGTCGGAGTTTGCCGACCCCCTTTTCCTGGGGTGTCTCGTCCCCTGGGCCTGAGTGTAATTCATTTCCCCAAGTGTCAGGTGAGTCGGGCTGCTCCAGGTTCTCCTGGCCTGGTACCCCGTAACCGAGCTGCAGGCCTGGTTGTGGGGTGAGTTCCCCCCTTACTGATTTTCATTTAGAGTCTAATGTCATGCTGGGGAGAATGTCTGGAAGAACTGGGTGGATAAGGTATGATCTATGCATTGTCATATATTTCTTTCCTCCTTTCATGTTTGACTTGAGGACTACATAAGTTGAGGAATAAAAGGATTTTCTCTCTCTTCTTTCTTTGAGAGGAGAAGCCTTGAGAAAGAAGCCTTTCCATCTTTGTCTTGACCCACTAAAGGAAGCTAGTCAACAATTTGAGCTGCTTCCTTCCCAGGTTTAGATTCATTTAACTCCTTAACCATGAATGCTGGGCACTTGGCCCAGTCAAATGTCACGTGAAACATCCCTTGGTGCAGAGGCCTCTGCAGGTGTATTGTTTTCCAAATTGACATTTATGTCTTAGAGGAAAAACACAGATGAGTTAGAAACTAGGCTAAAGTTTTCATTAACTGTGCATGTGGGAAAATATGAGTTTTCTTCCTTCCTGTGGCTCCAATTAGATTTCCAGTTGTTAATTGGGAAGTCAAGTGCCTGACCACTGGGCCAAGGCAACTGACGACCAGAAAAGGAAGCCACCAGCTCTCAGGATGCCACTGGATGCCAGCGAGGGAGCCGGAGAATCAGATCTGTCTACCGAGTATAGTTTAAGATAACTCCCAGAGGCCTCGGATGAAGGAGGCCACATCCTGAAGTTTAATACAGTGGTTATATCATGTTAGGCAGACTAAGAGAACCAAGTCGCTCTTAAATTCTGGCTTGGTGATGTTACCTGGCAAACTATGAACAGATGTATGTTATCACAGATTGACATAATGCAAAAAGAACACAAAATTTTACTGACTTTGTCTTGGCTGTGCCTTCAGAGAAGTTGCTAGACTCAAAGAGATAAAGAAGTACCCTCTTCTCTCTTTAAGGAGTCACAGGATATATACAATATACATACATACATACATACATACATATATATATATGTGTTATATATATTACGTGTTATATATGCTATATGTAGAATATGTGTGTATATTCACATGATACTCACACATCATACACACATGGGATGAATATAGAAAATGAATCAGGTACAGGGTAGAATCTAGAAGGAGCAGATTATAATGCCATTTAAAATAGGAATTCCACCCAAAGTAAGTAGCTGGAAAGCTGGTGATACTCAGAAATATCAATTAAACAGAAAAATTAAACACTGAAATTTATCTGCTATGGTAAGTAAAACTCTCCAGAGACTGGAATTTGTATTTTCTTAGATTTTAGGATATTTATTGATATGTAATGGATCTGTAGCATTATATTAGTTTCAAGTGTATGACACAGTGATTTGCTATTTTTGTCTATTTCAAAATGATCATTGCAATACATAGTGACTTTTTTCCTGTGATAATTTAAGATCTTCTCTCTTAGCAACTTTCAGTTATGCACATGGTATTGTTAACTATAGCAACCATGCTGTACGATATGTCCCTGTGACTTACTTAATTTATAACAAAGACTGTACCTTCTGCGTACCTGTCATCCATACCCTGTCTAATCCCCTCCCACCAGTCTATTCGCTTGGTGAGATTGGTTTTCATTTGTTTTAGATTCCACATATAAATGAGATCACATGGTATTTCTCTTTCTCTGATTTATTTCACTTAGTTATATGATCTCAAAGTCCATCCATGGCACAAATGGCAAAGATCACCCTTCTTTTTTATGACTGAATAATATTCCACTATATACAGTCACCTTAATTTGAAGCATGTCTATTGGTTTTCTATGCTCAAAGAAAGAAACCAAACCAAATGAGTTTCTATTCATTTCTGATTTGTAGTCATTTATCCCTGCTTGGACTTGGAGAGAAATCTGACTTATAATTGCTTCTCGTAGAGGTATACAGCAGGCCCTGGATTTGGAGTCCACTGTGATGTGTGCTCAGGAATTGCCTAAGTAAGATAGGACTTCAGCTAGGAGGTGTCTGGAAGTAGGTAAACTAGAGGGATGAAGCGTTCAGGTGAATTTCATCTTGGAGTTGCCAAAGCAAATGGAAAGAGACCTGAGACCGACTTTATGACCAGTCTTAGTGACGTTGCCCACAGCTTTGGGTTTTGTAAATAAACCCCCTTCAAGGGGAAATTAATAGAAGACTCAGGTTCGGAGCTGGCTGATGGAACTGAGGGCAGGGGTGTGGCAGGGCCTCTGGCTGCCACTGCCACGGGGACTGGAGGATCCAGAGGCCATCTCCACTTCAGCCCTGCTTCTCTTCGCTCGTAGAGATGGGTCTTTTCTTTTACCTAATCCACATGGGAGAAAATGTGGTTCTGACAACTTCTGAGTTGATCTTTTTTTCAAAAGGAAATTTCTACACAGAAATGTCTTAGTCCCAGTTCCTAATTCCAGCCATGCTCCAGTGGGGACCCTTCATGGCAAATGTATGTACCTGGGGCTTGGGCCCGATGGGCAGATGGGCTGTTCCCACACAGGATGGCTGGGGAGGTGGGCCCTGCAGGGGGGTGGGAGACCGGAAAGATGAACAGTGCATCTGAAGACAGAATTTAAGGTACAGATTGCGGTCACTGCTGTTACTTAAATACTGAACGTAAATGGATCTAGGCCTC